GCTGGTGTTCAGCAGAGGGGGGCAGGGGGGTGGCCCAGGACAGCCTGTGCTGCCCAGGGAAAGGGAGGGTCTTCGGGCTCAGGAGCTCAGGTCAGGAAGCCGGGGAGCTGCTGACACAGTGGGCCAACCGGGTGGAGCAGGGCTGTGTCCTGGGAATCGGTCCCAGAAAAGACAACCAAAGTGGGGACAGGAAAGAGAGGGGGCAGAGGCAGAAACTGAGCTTTGCTCTCGTTGCACAAAAGAAGGAGGTGACCCAAGGCTCCTTGTGACACCGGAAGAGGCATATTTGGGGAAGTGAGACCTCTCCCTGCAGATCAGTTCAGCTTCGAGGCCAACCACGGTGGCCCCAGAGCAAGCCAAGAGGATCTTTTGTGGTTCTGGCTCTTTCCACACCTGGGTGGGGTCACTGATGAGTAAGGGTGCCCCTCACAAGCACTGTCAAACCAGGCCAAGAGCCTATTTGATTCTAGGGTCCGTCCCCTAAGGTCCCCCCCTTTCAGCTCCAGCTCCTCAGGTGGGTTCTGAAGGGCCCAGCTTTGCACCAGCACGCCTGAGATCTGGGGCTCGCCCTGACTCACGGGTCTGAAATCTTGGCCACAGCTCTTTTCCCTCTGACCCTGGCTTCCTCACCAGTCAAATGAAGAGCAGAAAAGGCAGACAGACCTATAGAGTGCTAGCTGCAGACAGACAGATACTCTGTCCCCAAGTTACTCAGGTAGCCAGCTCCACACAAAAATCTTAGTTCTCAGTCCAGCATAGCCTTGTCTATCCCACACACCCTCTCACCCCTCACTCCTCACTCACGGGTACTGGGCACCACTACAGGTCAGCACTGCTAAGTCACAAATAGTGCTAGTGCCTATTGGTTGAGTCTCTACTATATGTCACATGTTGCTAGATTTTAGATGGAGCCTCCTCTTTACTCCTCCCGGCAGTCCTGTGAGACGATACTTGTATTTTAGACCACGTTTAAGAACTTGCTCCCGGTCATGGCTCTGATTTGAGGTCAGACTCCAAAGCTGGTGTTTCCATCCGCTGATTCTGTCCTGATCTCAAAGGGGTCCCAACCAGCACCCTTATCACTGTTCCTTCGGTACATTAGTACGTGTCCCCTCCGTTCCAGAAAACCTGGGGACACAGGATAAACCCTCTCGTGCTCCCAGCCATGAGTTCCACAGACCTGGTTTCCACAGCATTTTTGAGCCGTGAGCACCACGAACCGCAGGCACAGTGCCCCCTTGTGTCCGAGTACAGCACACATCTGAACCCGGGGAAAGGCACGTTTTAAACAAACTCCGACTGCAAAACATTTTAGTTTTTTTGCTTCCTGTGTCTCTGAAACATGCCAGGGGCCTCCTCTCTCCCCGCCCCACCTTAGTCACATGGCCTGTGGCTCGGACTCTGGCCGGCCATCGGCATAGCCCATCCCCTCCTTGCGACAGGGCACCGACCTGAGCTGGTGTCAGGAGGACTCCAAGACCCCTGAGAACTACCTGAAGGGAGGCTCTTGGTCTGCACCGGACGTTGTGAGGTTCTGGCGGTTTGTCCCCACCTGGAACCTGAGAATGAAGCTGCACAGGGAAGCCAGCGGAGCAAAGGGAGGGAGGGCGCCCAGCCCAGGGACCTCGCTGGAGCCAGGCGCAGCCGGGCAGGCAGGCAGGGCCTCCCCGGGACCCTCAGTAACAGCCACGCTTACAGCCCCCTACCGGGCCGCGTCCTCAGCGTGTGAGTTTGCTCACCCTGGGTCCAATGCTCTCACCGGCCACCATCTCGAAGAATGTGACACAAAGAGGGCCCCGGTGTCACAGAAGAGGGCAGAAGCCCCCAGCCAGGAGTGGGGGGTCTGCCACAGCGGCCCCACAGATGCATCAGAAGGGTCAGCAGAGGCAGAGGCCCCCCTGCAAGGGCAGCGGAATCTGGGGGACACCCCTGCAGAGAGGCTCCAGCAGGAGAAGGGGGAGGGGAAGACGGTGATCAGTGGTGCAGGAGTTACACCAGGTCGAGTGCATGCGCCTGCCCCCACCTGCCCTGCTCCCCTCTCTCTCTCACCCCCTGCCCCTAGCAATCGCTAAAGGAAAACTTTCTTCTACTCACAACACTTCCGACACCAAATGTGTGGGGTTTTTCCCACATCCACCAATCCCCCAATCTCTAGCACCAACGGGGTGTCCACAGTTCAATTCTGACTCCAACAATGGAGTTAGCCCAGACTCTCCAGGTTAAGGGCTCAGTCCCACAAGACCGCCCCCATTTCAGGAGCCAATCAAAAGAATGGGTCCCGGGGTTACCCCCCCTCTGTCCAATTTGGCTACAAATCAGGGTTCCCATGACCCCAACTCAAGTTTGATGATTTGCTACAGAACTCAGGGAAACACTTCTGTTGACCTGTTTATTATAAAGGCTGTAATCAAAGAGAGAGACGAACAGGGAAGAGGTGCATACGGCGAGGGCCAGGAGGCAGAAGGTTCTGTCCCCATGGGGTTTGGGACGTGTCACTGAGCCTGTCGGGTTTGCTTCACGGCCCTTCGTTTTTACTCCCAGTGTGAAAGCCCGGCTTTTAGCGCACATTCAAATTAAATCATGTCTTCTGACCCACAGATAGCTCCCCTTTCCTGTTTAATATTCCCGAGTCTTTGAAATATTAGGAAAACTGCTCTTGTAAAGCTTCGCGGATATGTTTCTGTTGACAAGTATTTAATCCAAAAGATATTTGTCAAAATTTCCTTTTATGTACTGAGGACTATCCAGGAATGTGGACAATGTGTCCCCTGGATTACGAGGGGTCAAGGTTGCTCCCCAAACATCTGGACAGTAGTTGTTAGTCAAATGTCAGTGGAGGAAAATACGAAACCCAAGGTCATCAATGAAAGGGCAGGTTTCCATGACTACTTTTTAGAGTCCAGGAGCATTTGATTGCTTGAGGGTTGATGATAAATTCAGGGAAGGGCATTTGCTGACTGAAAAATACACACACAGGCATTTCTCTCCTGAGCAGGGTGGGCTGTGACCTCTTCCTCAGTAACTGCTTGGGGAATCCCATTTTGTAATTTTTTCAGGAGGTTTTTTGTTTTGGCTTTGTTTTTACAGAGGTCACAGTGGAAAGCATTAAATCTCAAAAATTCTCCCGCGAGGAGCGCTTGCTAATTAAGAGCCGAAGCACCCCCACTGTTATGCTGGAGTGTCTCCATTCCGTCGTTAGTGCCTACTGTTGATTTTATAAGAATTTCAGATATCTGTGAAGTCAGGCAGCCATTCAATAAATATTTATTGAGTGCCTACTCTGTGCCTTGGGGATATAGAACGGAGGTGGACAGGACAGACAACATTCCTGCTCTCCTGGAGCTTACATTCTAGCCTGGGACACAATTAACAGGTCACTAAGTAAATACATACGGTGATTACTCTGTGTGACAGAAACAGGCAGGGTTGTGCACGAGAGGAAGGCCTCTTAGAAAGTGGGGATGGAAAGGGGCCACATGCTAAACCTGACAAGCTCAGGGAAGGCCTGCATGGTGGCCTTGCAAACTCAGAGGCCTACACTAACCACAAGGGATGGTCTGAAATTAAAACTTTTTAAACATAATCAGTTTACAGTTGGTAGCTATGTCCTAAGGTAGTATGATTCACAAAGATTAATCGTCACCTTAACTAAGCCTGTCAGTTGTCCTTTGCCTCTGAGATAACACACCTAATTAACAGCCTTTGCAAAACAAAGTACTGTCCTCTTTTTCTGGGCCCTCAGTGCACCAGGGCAGAGACCAGGAATCTTCTCATTGTTACTGTTACCTTGTTGTAACTGTTGACTGTTAACTGTCCTGTGCCCACCTATATAAAAGTAGTATATGTCTATCATTTTACTTTTTATCCATCCCAGAGGTCCCCCCCCTTTTGCTTTCTCCCACCTCCCTAATCTATCACCTATGGATTTCAGGTAACTCACTTAAGTCTCCCCTTTTGACTGTAATGTATAAAATAAGGTGCGAAACTGCCATTCTCCAGAGTAATTTGAGGTTTTGGCTTCCCGACGNCCTTTTGACTGTAATGTATAAAATAAGGTGCGAAACTGCCATTCTCCAGAGTAATTTGAAGTTTTGGCTTCCCGACGGTTTGGCTCAAATAAACTCACAAAAATTCTTCACAGGTTTGAATGATTTCTTATGTTAACAAAAGAGTGGCCAAGGAGGCAACTCCAAAGAGTGACATCTGAGTGGAGGTCCGGGTAGGCATGAGGCGGCCATGTCCATAGCTGAGGGAACAGCATTTTGGGCATGGGGAACAGGCAGTGCAAAGACAGACCCTGAGGGGAGGTGCTTCAAGCTGGGGGTTTGTAGACTGAATTGTCCTGCTCCGATGCAGGAGACCAAGCCCCAGGCACTTTTTGTGATGCAGCTATAACAGGCCTGCTGTGATTTTGTACACCAGCACTAAGTGGTACAGCAAAAATAATTTCTTATATTCTTGCAAAAAAATTATTCACATGATGAAACTTACAAAAGTCATGCTGATAGAAAAATAGAACCTAGAGCCGGAAGAGGTGTCAGATCATCAAACCCAACGCTTCATTTTAGATGAGAAAACTGAGGCCCAAAAAGATGAGCCGCAAGTCCCATGGCCACATGGCTCGAGGTGGCAGAGCTGAGGTTAGAACTCCAATCTTGAAATTAGGGACACACTCTTTCCTCAACAGGCTCAGGAGGAACTATTTGCCATTGGCAGGCACTCCCACTATTTGGATGAAGTATTTGTTCTGAAAATGATACACCTGATTTTCCTCCTCTGAAATCTCTCACACATAGCTTTCCATCTAGCTTGAAGCTCTTCCAAATCCAGTCGTTAAAAAGGAAACCAACTTTGCGTACGGGCTGTTCACACCCCCATTACCTGAGTGTGAAAGCCTTGGTCGGGGTACCACCCAGTCCCCGGAGTAAAGTCCTGTTTCCACACCCACGTCCTGAGGGAGGGGCCTGGGGACCTCGGCTGCCAGGGGGGCCGGGGCTCACCGCCTGGGCCCGCACCTGCTCCCGCGACCGGCCGGCTGCCGAGGGAACCGACGTCACCTCTGCTGAGCAGCCTGGGCCCGGTGGCGGCAGGGCCGGGCGCGAGCTGGCAAGCCCCCGCGTGGGCGCAGCAGGCGGCGCGCACAAGGAAGGTGGCGACTTGAGGCCAGGCCGAAGGTCGGGGCTCGCTCCGGGGCCAGAGGGCAGAGGTCAGTTATCAGGGCTGCAGGTCAGCCCGAGCGCACTGACCGGGCCCCAGGACATCGCAACCACCGGGCCCGAACGGGGGGAACCCTGTTGGAAGGAGTGAACGGAAATGCTATTTACCCGGGATGAGGAGAGTCAGCAAAACCACTGACCCCACGCCTGCTGACTTTACAGGCCCCCAAGCGGTTCCAGTGAGTTCAAATTCGGGCACAGAACCTGCCGAGAGCCCTGGGCCAGCAGCGGTGCAGGCCCCGAGCTTCGGGCTGCGGTCCCGCATCCCGGGCCCTTGCGGCGCTTCGGGGCTGCGGTCCCGCATCCCGGGCCCTTGCGGCGCTTCGGGGCT